ATGAATGGGGAATTGCACAAGTATATTTAGTATGCAGACGGTTTGTCTGGTGTTAAGGAAACATTAGCTTTAAGACCTGGAAGTGAAGAAAAGTAGTGGTGCACCCAACATTCTGTGGTGGTGGGACTTTGCCTCTGGGCCTGGATTACTTTAAAATGGGGTTCTAGGACCTACTTTGAGCTTTTCCTTTCACTTCTTTTCTTCCCCACCCCTGATCTTTTTCTCACTGACAGTCTTAACTGCCATAAACATCTTTGCCAGGAAGAAGGAAAAACAGGTGAAACTCCAATCTGCCCCGCCCCTTTGCCAGTCATATCTGTGATGAAGAATAGCTTGGACAGGGAGGAAGAGAAGAAGTTGAAATTGCTGGCTAAAGTTAAGTTTCTTAAAATAACTCATCTGCCTTTGCTTGCCCCATTTATAAATTACCATGAATAATTGGGAGTTGACTCCATAAATAAGTACATGTAAGTTGAAGAAACTTCAGAAAGGCTGTCATTAGTCTTTCACCCTGTTTCAGTATAGTTAGTAATTGGATTCATTCCTCTGCTCTGCCCTGACGACTGGTCAGCTACTGTATCAGCTTCCTGCGGCTGCTGTAACAAATCACCACAAACTGAGTGGATTAAAACAACAAATTTATCCTCTCACAGTCCTGGGGGCCAAAAGTCCAAAATTAGTTTCATTGAACGTAAATCAAGGTGGCAGCAGGGCTATGCTCCCTCCAGAGGTTCTACTGCAGTGATGGCGAACCTTTTGAGCTCGGCGTGTCAGCATTTTGAAAAACCCAAACTTAACTCTGGTGCCGTGTCACATATAGAAATTTTTTGATATTTGCAACCATAGTAAAACAAAGATTTATATTTTTGATATTTATTTTATATATTTAAATACCATTTAACAAAGAAAAATCAACCAAAAAAATGAGTTCGCATGCCACCTCTGACACGTGTGTCATAGGTTCGCCATCGCTGTTCTACTGCATCACTCCAATTCCTGCCCAAAGTCACTAGAGATCCAGGCCGCTTGGGGTCTGCTTGTGGCTTTGTGGCCTCAGGACTGCTGCTTCACTTCAGGCAGCATCTCCCTGTTAGAAGCAGGAAAGGGCAAAGAATAGAAAATACATGTCGGTTTTCTAAGAAGCTTTCCAGAAGTCCTACCCAACAGCGAGGCTTACATTTTGTTGGCCAGACTAGATCATATGGCCACCGCATCATTAAGGAGGCTGGGAATGTTTTTAGCTGGGACATTACACCTCCACTAGCAGGATTCCGTTAGTGTTAAGGCAAAGGGAGAATGGCTATGGAGTAGGCAGCTTGCAGCCTGTCCTAGTAGGTAATGAAAAGAGTTTACATTTCTACCTACAAGTAGAAGGCTCTTGTGTATATGACCACGTTAATCTTAGTTCATTCTCAAACCTATATTGAGGAAACCTGTTCAGTTCCAGGCATAGTGATAAGCCCTGGGATGTCGTTTGCATTGATACTTGCTGTAGGACAGACACTTGTTAACTACTTTCATGTAGGTTATTTACATCATCTCCTCTAATCTGCTCCATTTTCTGCTCCTGGAGATATCAACTCCACTTTATAGATGAGGCAACTGAGGATCCATGAGAATGGTTAATAATATCATTTTCTAGATTTAGAGATTAAAATTTTAGAGCTTACAGTTGTAGAGCTTAATCACACCCATGTTTTCTGGTTCTAAGTTTAGTGCTAAATTATGCTTTGAATTGAATACACACACACACACCCATAACCCCCACCCACACTTTGTAAAGCAGTGAGAAAGTATCACCTTTAGTGAGGTAATGCTGGGTTTGAGTCTTATTTCTGCCAGATATGGTTCTGTTATGTGATAGACAAATTATTGCATATTGGTGCTTCGGTGCTGTCGTTTGTAGAGCGGGGATAATGTCATCTGCCTTGCAGGGTTCTTGTGAGGATGAAATGAGATATAGGCCTATACTGCACCTATTCAGTAAACAGTAACTTTATAGTTATTATTATGGTTGTCTTCATATTATAGGTCAAAATTGACTTTTCCTTTCCTCTCCTGTAGTAGGCGTGGTAATACTGAAGAAATCACTTAGTTCTTGGGACTTTTCAAAACATACATATATGTTTTCCTACTAATTTCTTGATCTTTTTGCCAGTTGTGATTAGTTTTTGCAGTGTGACAACAAATAGGAATAACTCTTTTTCCCTCCTGTAACTGTTATAACAAATTATCACAAATTTGATGGCTTTAAGCAACAGACTTATCTTACAGTTCTGTAGGTCAGACGTGTGACAGAGGTCTTAGGGCTAAAATCAGGTGTCGGCAGGTTGGCATTCCTTTCTAGAGCAGTGGTTCTCAACCTTCTGGCCCTTTAAATACAGTTCCTCATGTTGTGACCCAACCATAAAATGATTTTCGTTGCTACTTCATAACTGTAATGTTGCTACTGTTATGAATCGTAATGTAAATATCTGATATGCAGGATGATCGTAGGCGACCCCTGTGAAAAGGTCGTTCGACCGCCAAAGGGGTCGAGACCCACAGGTTGAGAACCGCTGCCTAGAGGCTCTGGGGAGACTTATTTGCCCTTTTCAGTTATTACAGAGGCTGCCTGTATTCCTTGGCTCATGGTCCCCCACTCCATCTTCAAAGCCAATAATGTAATTATCTCTCCCTGCCCTGCTTCTATTGTTACATCTTCCTGACTCCTTCTCCCTCCCTCTTCTGCCTTTTTAAGGACACTTGTGATTACATTGGGCCCATTTAGATAAAAAGATAACCTCCCCATCCCAAGGTCTGCTGATTAGCAGCTTTAACTCCCCTTTACCATAGTTGTAACCTAACACAGTCACAGGTTTTGAGGATTAGCATATGGACATCTTTGGTGCACTATTATTCCGCCCACCACGTCTCCATTCTCTCCAAAAGACTGAACTCAGTTTTAGCTTCAAAAAAATAAAAATAAATCTAAGGATGCTGTGGATACCTTTTTATACACTTGAAGTCTATTGATGTTATAGTAGGAGAACTAGGTAGGACCTGGGTTTTCTTGGCTTAACTGCTGCAGGCTGTGAGGATACAAGGAGAGCAAAGGGGGAATAGAGAAGATCCTGGCCCTGGAGGCCCTCAGGCCCTTGGGTAGACCTCTAGGGAGAGTTGCCTAGCATCACTGGTGTAATGTAGTGTGATTACTATGTAGTTCTAGGGGTGTTTTATTTTATATTTTTTCTTACCTTTTCTCTTATCCATGACTTACTCTTTTATGTTTGCAAAGATAAAACATTTGTAGGAAGTTGTGGATTTTCTTAATATTTGTAATGATTTACAGTAGTCACCCCCTCCCCTCCACCCCCCCCCCCCCCCAATATGATCTCCAGTAAATGCCTAAAACTGCGGGTAGTACTGAACCCTATACTTTGTTTTTTCCTATACATATAGACCCATGATAAAGTTTATGGATTCTCTTTGGCATATCCAGATTGCCACCATCACTCTTGTGCTTTGGGGCCATTGTTACCAGTAAGTAAAATAAGGGTTACTTGACACAAGCACTGCAATACTGTGAGTCAGTCTGACAACTGAGACAGCTACTAAGTCATTAATAGGCGGGCAGTGTATATATTCAGTGTGGCTATGATTCATGTCTGGGGTGGGACTGCGCAAGATTTCAGCACGCTACTCAGAATGGAGCACACTTACTTTAAAATGTACACATTGGCCTGGCTGGAGTGGCTCAGTGGTTGAACATCAACCTATGAACCAGGAAGTCACAGTTTGATTCCTGGTCAGGGCACATGCCCGGGTTGCGGGCTTGATCCCCACTGTGGAGCGGCAGGGGGCAACCAATTGATTATTCTCGCTCATCTTTGATGTTTCTGTCTCTCTCTCCCTCTCTCTCCCTCCCTCTCTCACTCTTTCTGAAATCACTAAAAACATATTTAAAAATAAATAAAATGGTTTATTTCTGGAACTTTTCATTTAATATTTTTGAGCTGCAACTGACTGCAGGTAACGGAAAGCGTGGAAAGTGAAACTAATAAGGGCAACTGCTGTATTTTAAATTCTTTGAAAGAGAGACTCTGAAAACCAAAGCATAAGTAATATATACGATTGAATCATTTTTCTAATTTATTGCTTGAGTTCGTTATTTTAATTCAATTTATTACTTGAACTCGTTTTTCCAGTTCAGTAATTCTTGCTGGTGTCTGACATACATTATCTGAACCTATTTTCCTAAGTGAAAAGCTTAGTCTTTCTAGTCATTCATCTATTTGTCCAATCAGCAAGTACTACAATGTGCTAGGCTCTCTGCTTAGCTCTGGGGACATATTGGTAAGCACAACATGGTCCCTTCCTTCATGGAGTTCAGTCTAGTAGGTCTGTCAGCACATCGTTAACAAAGTGGGTATGACTGAAAATCAAACTTCTATTTGCAACATTTTCCTTGTCTTATGATTGTCTTATGATTTTGTCTCTAAATTATTTTAAAATACTTCAAAATGTAACTGTGACTACTATTTACAATATAGACTAATGTTTCTTGCTTATTTGAAGTAATTTAGAGTTTAGGTTGCTTTTTGAAATAAATTTTTAAGCAGATATCATTTCTTAAGCTTTTCTCAATATTCAGTGAAGTCAAAGATTTCTTTTTTGTAAATGAAATTTCCAATAACCCTTTCTTAAGTACAATATTCCTTAAGATGTTTCTAATTGCCGAACCAGTTTGGCTCAGTGGATAGAGCGTCGGCCTGTGGACTGAAGGGTCCCAGGTTCGATTCCGGTCAAGGGCATGTATCTTGGTTGCGGGCACATCCCCACTGCGGGGCGTGCAGGAGGCAGCTGATTGATCTCTCTCATCGATGTTTCTAACTCTCTATCCCTCTCCCTTCTTCTCTGTAAAAAATCAATAAAATATATTAAAAAAAAAGAAAAAGAAAAAAAAAAGATGTTTCTAATTAAGAAAGGCCTGACACTAATTTTCATGTTTGCTCTTTTAGGAATGTTTTAAAGGAAGTTGGGCTACTCACAAGTTACTACATAAGAAAGCAAGTAAGTGAAATCACACATCTCTACACCGTATGTCTTCGAAGTGGCTTTCTTGTGAAAATTCTTCCAGTTTTGAAAGTGTATGTTTGAATATTCAGAAAGTGCATATTTGAATATTCTAAGTATAATTCAAAAGCTAGAATTTGAACATATTGTTTATTCTTTATGATGTGTTATCATGTAAAAAATGTGGCTGAGTAATATCTTTGTTGATATTATTGTATGACATGTGACATGAAAACATGAATGGTTGCTGGGATAGACGGACCTTACTTGAGCAATACCTGAGAAGGTCTAATCTTTTGGCACCGTCTTTCCTTTGCTAGAAATGTTTGCTTATTGTGGGCTGGGACACATGAGCTATCTGGCTTCATTTAGCCTGATCTCTTGGTTTTGTTTAGTTTGAATTTTGATGGCTTTTCTACTCAAAAGTCTATTACTTTAGGTTTTTTGGTCATGTAATGTTATTACTTCCAGTTTGATGTTTAATTTGCTCTTTTGAAGTTATTTTGTGAGACACCACAAAGTGAAACTATTGGCTGCTGCTTTAGCTATTGCTGTCACCACCGCGATGTGTCTCTGATTGAAATGGCCTTTCCTGCTCTGGCCATTCATCTTGTAAATTCATGTCATTAGTGTGGCTGGCTTAAGACAGACAACCCTCACAATTACTTGAAAATTGGCAGGGGGTTTCTGTTCTTATGGCATTGCTATCCTGATAGATGAACGCTTGCCAGACAGCACATGGTCCTCCATATAAGGGTTTTGTTTCAGCTTACTGACCTTGGTATTTTTTTTTTGTTATTTATCTCTTTGTATGTGTGTGTGTGTGTGTGTGTGTGTGTGTGTGTATATATATTTTAGGAATTTGTTGATTTAATAAAGTTTGGTAGATTGTTTTATATCAACAGTTTAAAAAGATATTTTCTGTGCTTGTGTAAAGTGAAGTCTACATTTAATGGAAATGTTAGACTATTGTGGGAGGAAATGTGGTTAGAGAGGAGGAAAGCTGATTGTGAATAAATGACTTTCTCAAAGCATAAAAGGCAGAATTTGTTACCTCAAATCAAATATAGAGATTGATTTTAAGTAATGCCGTTTAGTTTTATTCACTCATAGATAAAATGCTGTATTTCTAATGTGTTTGGTATTTTAGAGCTCGTTAAGGCAGTTATTAATATTTTATAATCAGGAGGTTAAAGCATAGGTGAGTGAAGAGTTGAGGTGAAACAGTATGTTAGTAATGAGCTTAGAATGAGTCTCTACCCCAGGCATTTGTTAACTAACTGAAATGTGCCTCTTTCTTCAATCCTGGATTCCTAAGGGTGAATTATTTCATTAAAACCTATCCTACAAGAGAATTAAACCACTGATGTGCCCAAAGTGAAAATAACATAATTATTAACTGCATTGAACTGAGGCCATTTTGGTTTTACTCGTACCACAGTGTTTAGTGTGATGCCCTCTTGGATCTTTTCGGATGATTTTCTTCAGTGGTGAGTCTAATATTCTTGATCCCTTTGAGCTGTGTTGGATAGAGACAACCCTCAGCTGGCTAGCCATGTATCTTCTCCCTAATAAATTGATCCCAACAACACTGCCGAGGATGACAGTCCTAGAGGAGGGAATGTCTGGGGAAGGGTCCTCGTTGGAACTAAGATTATTGGGAAAGGAATTAGGGGGAAAGAATGTTGGGTTAGGAAGGAACAGGGCATCATAAAACATAGCAACTTATTCCAAGAAACAATAGTGAGATAAGATATCAAGTAGGTCATGTCATGAGATGACTGCTTAGGCCTTTTTCCTTTTTTTTTTTTTTTAAGGTGTAGTGTGTCCTGATCTCTAATTAAGGAGGCCTGATTTATATGTTTGTTCATATGGGATATTTCTGTAATTGGCTTTTAATATCTTTGATTGGTTTTGGCATTAGAGTAATTTTATTGCCAATAAAATTCAAAGTGTTTCCTCCTCTTCTGTTTTCTGGAAAAGATTATGTCAAATTGGTGTTATTTCTCCTTTAAATGTTTAGTAGAATTCACCAGTGAAACCATACGGACCTGGGGTTCTCTTGATTGCAGGAGCTAATCAGGCCTTAGGAAAATTTCAAGTGTGAATTAAATAAATGATTCAAGGACAGGACTTTTTAAAAATATATATTTTTATTTATTTTTTAAATATATTTTTATTGATTTCAGAGAGGAAGGGAGAGAGAGATAGGAACATCAATGATGAGAGACAATCATTGATCAGCTGCCTTCTGCACACCCCCTACTGGGGATCAAGCCCACAGCCAGGCATGTGCCCTTGATTGGAATCGAATCCAGGACCCTACAGTCTGCAGGCCAGCACTCTATCCACTGAGCAAACCAGCTAGGCCCAGGACTTATTTTTTGTGTGTGATAGTAAGGACCAGTTAGATTACAAAGCCCTTAAAGTCACACAGTGCTGAAGCTGGGGTGCATATTTCCTATGCCGTATTTCCTGCCAGAGTGGACATAGTAGCGTTTCACATCTTCATAGTCTCTTTTTCTACTTGAGGCCTGGTGCACAAAATTCGTGCATGGGGCGGGGTGTGTCCCTCAGCCCAGCCTGCACCCTCTCCAATCCAGGACATCCCTCTCATAATCCAGGACTGCTGACTCCTGAGTGCTCACCTGCCTGCCTGCCTGATCACCCCTAACTTCCCCCGCTGCCGGCCTGGTCACCCCCCAACTGCCCCCCACCCCTGCCGGCCTGGTCAGCCCATGCAGCCTGCTGTTCAGTCATCCATCTGGTTGTTTCAGTCATGACAGCCCCTGGCTTTTTATATATTAGGATATTCTTTTTATGTATCACTGATTTATTCAGTGTGCTTGTCTCCCATTTCTTAAAGTAAGAGGTGAAAGCATTTGATAGATGTCTTTTGAGTAGCCCAAAAAATGCTGTAAAAATTCCTTTGAAAAAACAACAAACCAAATCTAAATAATCACTCCTCTACCCTCAAAACTAGAGTGCTTGATTTTTGGATTGCAGAGTGAAGGTTTTATGTAATGTTTCAGAATTGATTCCACCAAAGACTTGTGAGCATACATTACTTTGAGCCTCGCCTTCAAAATGCTGAAATTTTGTCTGTTGTGAGGATTAAATAAATCCATGTAAAATGCTTAGCATACATACAGTGCATAGTAAGTGCTGCACAGCTACTTAATAGTCATTTCTCGAAGAACTGAGTCCGAATTGTGATCAGATGATCCTGTTTTATGCAAAGCTTAGGTATAGGCAGTCATGTTGTGTCAGCTGACCAGAGGAGGCAGCCTGCACAGAACCTTTTAAAGACTAAAGCCTAGATATGATGTACTTTGAACCAGACTGTGGACGGAACAGGTCCTCTTACTTGGTCCTGTTTCATCCAGATGTGTGTGTGAGACTCAGCTTTCAGGTATTATATACACTGTTCTGTGCTTTCACAGCTTTTTGAAAAAGATCAGTTAGTTTGCAATTTTGTTACCAATCCCAAGTCCAATTCAGCTGAATTAGGTGTCCATTATCTAGCACTTAGGCCTCAGCTCAGACTGACCCAAAAATGTAAATGAACTGACTTTTGAAGTGGATGTTTTCCTAAGTAAATTATTCAAAAAGAACTTGCCAGATTTCAATCTCATCTAGGAATCTTGTGGTTATATGTATTATTTGTTTGAGGTCTGCTTTTAATTCTCTTTTGAAATAGATTGTGGAAAACTTGGAATGCAGATCAGCTGGAAGCTTTGAAAGATTTTATATCCTTCTTTTTCCTTGCTGCCTCCCCAGGAGTATGTTAAAACAAAAGCCTGCATCTTGTTATTCTGCCTTAGGTTTCAGGTGGAAATGGTTATTGCAGTTCATATTCCAGACAAAAGCAGTTGATGCTCTTCATAGCTGAAGCAGCGTCAGTGGGCCTGCATCTCTAAATATTTCTGTAATGTTTGACCCTGAGGCAATGAATGCAGTCCAGTTTTGTCCTGGGGTGAGAGATAGTTTTCCTATTGACATTAACATTCACCGTGGCTTTCTTCAGTTCCTTACGTGAGAAAGATATTTAAAATTCAGTAGCACAGTAGAGCTTTTCTTTTGTTTTTCCATTCTCATTCTTTTCTGTTTCTTTACTTTATATGTAATATTATCATTGTATTATCTTCCAGAGTAATGTGAATGGATTGGCTACTGGAACCCTTCCCCAGTTTCCTCAGCTGTAAAATGAGGAAATTTGACTGGATTATATTTTTGTTGACTTTAGTCACCATGCTGTACATTCCATCGCTCGAACATATTTCTTATAACTAGAATTTTGTATCTTTTGACCAACTTCATCAATTTCACCATTCCTCATTAGCTTAATATGGTATGATTTCATCTTTTCTTCCCCATTTTGTACTTTAAATATATTTTGTAAAGGGGGAGTTTTATTTTTCTCATACACTTCTAAAATTATCTAAAGCCTGACTTTCAAAACTTGTGATAGCATGGCAGTAATCAAGAAAAGAAGGGTGTGCCTTGGGAGGTATGTAGGTTGACACTCTGAGGGATTTAATTCCTGCTATTCAAGGTCTATTTAGTGTTGTTGTTGTTTTTTACATTGTAGATGGAGGTGTAGTCAGTTTGCTGATGTGAGATACCATAGAGGGGCTGGTCTGTTCTGTGTGAAAATGAGTCTAGGTACATTTCACTAAATGCAACATTATGTATTAATAACTTTAACCTGGTAAGGGTGTGTGTGTGTGATTCTTAAATTTTTCTACTGAGGTTTCAGTAATTTTCTACTGATTATTCCCTCCCCTTATCTTTACCTTTTTCTAATTTCTTCTGTTACCCCTTACTGAAAAAAGGCAAATGATGCTTATAAAATTCTTAAAGGAATTTGAAATATTGCCTTGGCTCAGACTTTATACCTCAAAATGGGCTTTCTATAAATTGATCTTGTAGAAAGTATACATTTAGCATTTGCTTGAGGAAAGGAATTCTACTATGAGCTGTTCCTAGTCAATAATGTATAAAAACTTACAATATGTTTAGCTTAGGCTTTTTCTCACAAGACACGCAGATCTTTGAGGTATCATAGGGTTGTAAACATAGCAAGAAAACAATAGCTTCGGTGATATAGGCTAAGGCGGGAATTTGCTGGGTTTTTGTACCTGTATACTCTTTGGTGTGGCGTTCACACAAGTTACAGTTAAAGAATGCTGCTGCTCAGTAGTTTGACACTGAAGCATTTCTTCCTCTTTTTCTCATCCATTTATCACGTAGAAGATGAAAAGGCAAAGCGGGAATTGTCTTCCTGGAGTCTAGAAGGTGATACTAACACTGACCCATGGGCAGGTTATCGGTACACGGGCAAACTCCGACCACATTATCCACTGGTGAGTAAATAAGGTAATAAACACTTAACGTTCTTAAAACCAATTTTCAGTTTACTAAAAATGATACCTGTAAGTTGTATTCCAGTTATGAATTATATAATCAGGATTAAGTTCACATTCTAGCTCTTTTTATGGAACATTATTTAGAAGTTAATAGGGATAATTGGCTATTATGGAAGAAGAAAAAATTTTTAGGTGAAAGGATTAAAATTTCTTTAATCTTAAAAAAGAAAATGGTAGATAGATATTTTCTGGCTGGCGTGGTGGTAGCGAATATTGCTACCTTTCTAAAATTGTTTAACGTGATACAGTTCTACCTTAATTTTGATAGGGCTTTCCTGCCACTCCCACTCCTTCCTATGTTCTTGTCAGGTGGGCTTTAGCACATTAACATAGGAATCCATTTAATTTGAAATCTATTTGTCATCCAAAAATATTTAAAATTTTTTTACTGATTTTTTATAAAAAGAATACATCTTTAAAAATTTGGGGCAAATATCAACAACATAAGAACATCTTTTTAATCCTAGCTCCCAGAGATAATAATGAACATAATGGTGTATATTTACTTAGCGATATAATTTATTGTTATTGATGGTTTGCCAGCTTGTTCGGAACAACATGGTCACCTTGCTGTCTGCTTGTGATGTTAAATCCTTAATGGCCCTGGCTACCCTCCCCTCTTAGGATATTTAAGTGTCATTAGCACTAGGAAAATGAAGCTTAATCTTCATGAAAGAGATATATTGTGATAATTGAGGTGTCATTTAAAACTTTTTTCATTTAAATGAAATGAATGAACTTTTTAGTGTTTTCCTCACTTTTATTTCCTTTGTTAGTAAATTTTAATAGTGATAATTGCTTTCAGATTTGAATTGGTTTTAACTAACATATCTTTCGATGTTTTTAGATGCCAACCAGGCCCGTGCCAAGTTATATTCAAAGACCAGATTATGCTGATCATCCTTTAGGTGAGTTTTGCGATGCTGATTCCTCAGTTTTTAGCTTGTGAGCCTGATGACCACTGCAAAGAAAGGAGTGCTTTTCTTTGGAAAATTTTTCAGTGCTGGATTTCTCTTTGTTTGTTTTGTTTGTTTTTGTTTTAGTGCTGGATTTCTAGTAAATGTAAACAGCTTTTTAAGACACTAGAACATTTGAGAAAATTAAAGACTCTTCCAAGAAATCTACCCAATTTTGAAAATAATGTTTAGATGTTAAGACTACATTCAACATAATATTGAATTTTGTGTTTTTATATCGAATTCTAGATTAAAAAAAGCATTTTGATTTAACATGTTCTATACTTTAATTAAATAAAACGTATTTAGATAAAAACAGATTGTGGAGGCCTCAAATGAATGCCTAACTAAAGACTGGTCTGTAGAAGTAATAGAACCTAGTATTAATGGCAATGATTACAGTAGTACTGATGATGATTCTGTAAGTGATATTTGTTCATAACTATATGTCAGGCACTATGCTAAGTTCTCATGTGTTACTCCTGGGGTGGATTCTGTTGTCTTCTCCATTTTATAGATAATGATGGTGAGAGACCCAGAGAAGATAGGTAATTTGTAGCGCAAGTGGAGCAGTCTCTGATTGTAGGGCCTGTAGGCATAACTTAAGTGGATTATATGAAATTACTGGTTTTGCATGTCAAAACTGGTTGAATATTCATTTTCTTGTGGTTTAATCTGTTAAGTTGCCTTTGTTCTCTAAGAAGTGGCGAACCATATTACATTTTTATGAATATAATTTAAAAACTTAAACTTCACTATTTCAGATACATTGAAGGAAAAGATAGTCTGAATGATAGATAGCTCTTGAGATGTATAAGTTCATTACTCTGTGTTTAATATTTTTTAAAAATAGGTTTTCTTATTGATTTCAGAGAGAGGAAGGGAGAGGGAGAGAGAGATTAGAAACATCAGTGATGAGAGAGAATCATTGATCGGCTGCCTCCTGCTGGGGATCGAGACTGTAACCCAGGCATGTGCCCTGTCCTGGTTCATGGGTCGACGCTCAACTATTGAGCCACACCTGCCAGGCTGTATTTTTATATATATATGTGTATATAAAATATATATATGTATATATAAAATATATATGTATATATATATGTATATATATACATATATATACACATATATACACACACACACACATACACACATACATATACACACACATATACATATATATATATTAATATCTTTTATTGATTTCAGAGAGGAAGGGAGAGGGTGAGAGAGATAGAAATATCAATGATGAGAGAGAATCATTGACTGGCTGCCTCTTGCACACCCTCCCACTGGGGATCGAGCCCGCAACCGGGGCATGTGCCCTTGACCGGAATTGAACCTGGGACCCTTTGTCCACAGGCCGACACTTGCTGTACTGAGCCAAACCAGCTAGGGCTATTTAATATTTTTTAAAGTAGTTTTTTCCCCCCAATATATTTTATTGATTTTTTACAGAGAGGAAGGGAGAGGGATAGAGAGTTAGAAACATCAATGAGCACACCCCCTACTGGGGATGTGCCTGCAACCCAGGTACATGCCCTTGACTGGAATCGAACCTGGGACCCTTCACTCCGCAGGCTGACGCTCTATCCACTGAGCCAAATCAGTCAGGGCTTAATGTAGTTTTAAAATCAACATAGACGTGGTAAATTCTGATAGGATAAAATGTTACATAGTGAAAAGTAAGCCCTACTCCCCAGAGGTAGAATCACTATTAACAGTTTCTTGCAAAACTTTCCAGAGATCTTTTTTGTTTTTTTTAAATATATTTCTTTATTGATTTCAGAGAGGAAGGGAGAAGAAGAGAGAGATAGAAACATCAATGATGAGAGAGAATCATTGATTGGCTGCCTCCTGCACACCCCACACTGGGGATCGAGCCCACAACCCAGACATGTGCCCTTGGCCGGAATTGAACCTGAAACCCTTCAGTTCGCAGGCTGACGCTCTATCCACTGAGCCAAGCTGGCTAGGGCTCCAGAGATCTTTTACATGTGTATGCACATTAGCCCCTCACCCTAATTATACACAGTAGGACCAAACTCTGTACAGCTTTTCACCATGCTTTATTCTTTTTTATTTTCACCTTGTTTTAGTCTCTTAATAGATCTTATAAATATTCTTTTTAATGACAAGTATTTCATTATGTGGGTACATCATAATTTATTAAACCAGGCTCCTCTTACTAATGTATGTTTAGATTATTTCCAGGTTTTTGCTTGTTTGAGTGTAGTAACTGTTCTTGCATGTGAGAGTATTTCTGTAGGTCAGTTGCCTAAAGTAAAACACCTAGATCAAGGAATACATGTATTTTTTTATTTTGAGAGCTATAACAAATTTTAGCAATTTTGCCAGTTGTCATTTTTATTAAAAATCATATAGGAGTCTTTTTTTCCTTATCTTCCCTAACATAGAGTGTTTTCAAACTATATGAATTGTGCTAATCTGAAAGATGATATTTTGTGTTAATTTGTATTTTTAAAATATGAAGAAGATTGAACATCTTTTTATACATCTGTCTATTCATCTTAGCCCTTTCCCAATTAGGTTACTAGTTTTTTTCCATACTGATTTATAAGTGTTCTTTTTCTACTAAGGAAAATAATCCTTTGATGTGTGTTCTATAAAAGGTTTTTCCCAATTGAACATTTTGTCTTTGTTTAGAGCATTACATTTATGGCAAACTTTCAACATTTTTCTGTAATAAAATTTATCAGTGTTTTCTTTGAGGTGTTTATAGATTAATTACTTAGGAAGACTTTTTTGATTCAGAGATTATTATAAAATGACTAGAGGCCCTATGCATGAATTTTGTGCAAGAGTAGGCCTTCCTTTTCCTGCTGCCGGCACCAGCTTCCCTCTAGCACCCGGGACCTGGGCTTCCCTTGCAGCCCCAGCTTCATCTGGAAGGATGACTGGACTAATTAGCATATTATCCTTTTATTAATATAGATTTTCCCATTTTGTTTCTTCCACTATTTTTATGGCTTCACTCTTTTTATGTGTGATAACATTTTTATTTAGTATTAGGGATTAAATACAAATACAACTTTATTTTTCCCTTGAAAAATATCTGGTTGTCACACCATTAGTTATTTAAAATATCAGTCCTTTTTTCGTCTGATTTAAAATGCTGCCTATACAATTATATTAAATTCTCACAAGTCTTTGAGTCTGTTTTTGGATTCTGTTCTGTCTCATTAACCCATTTGTCTAATCATGTGCCATTGCCAAACTCTTAATTATTATAGCTATATAATGTTTTCATATTTGGTAGGCCTTGTTGCCCCCACCTTTCCTCTTTTTCAGAATTTTCCTGGCTATTCTTGCATGTTTGTTTTTCCATGTGAAATTTGGAATTAGCTTGCCCCCCAAATATCCTGTTGCCATTTTTTAAGTGGGATAGTATTAAATTTATAGACTAATTTTGGAAGAATTGACACCTTTACAATATTGAGTCTTCCTATCCAAGATCAGGGTATGTTTTTCTATTTTATTTAAGTCTATCTATCTCAGTGGTATTTTAAAACTTTCTTCATTAGGTCTTGTATTAAGTTAATTTCTGGATATTTTATCTTTTTTAGTTGTTCTTGTAAATAGTATCTTCTATATTTTCTAGCTCATTGTTTGTATATGGGCAAGCTATTGATTTTGACATATTTAATTTACAATCTGCCAACTTGCTAAATTATTATTTCTAGTCATTCACCAGGTGTCCCCTTATTTTAGGGATATGATTATATATAATCATATCTGAAATTGATAAAGATTTTGTCCTTTTCTTTCTAATTTAATATGTCTTATTTCTTTTTCTTGTTTAACATACCTGCTACTACTGTCAGAACAATGTTAAATAGTGGTGCTGAGGTGGGCATTCCATGATATGGGTTGTTGGCTTGAGATTTATATTTGTCATGCTGACCATGTTATCAGAATTATCTTTCTAGATGATCATTTAGTTTTCCTTCCTTAATTTATGTCTGTGAGGAATTATATTAATAGATTTGTTAATGTGTTTTTCCACTTATGTCATGGGGTATTATATGTATTTTGGATTCTGTTTAATAATATTTTAGTTGGGATTTTTATATCCACATTTATTATTTTTACTATTTTTTATTGATAAAGCATTTATTTTTTTAAATATATTTTATTGATTTTTTTACAGAGAGGAAGGGAGAGGGATAGAGAGCTAGAAACATCGATGAGAGAGAAACATCAATCAGCTGCCTCCTGCACACTCCCTACTGGAAATGTGCCCGCATCCATGGTACATGCCCTTGACCAGAATTGAACCTGGGACCCTTCAGTCCACAGGCCGATGCTCTATCCACTGAGCCAAACCAGTCAGGGCTGTCCACATTTATTTAAAAATATTAGTTTATGGTTTGTTATATTCTTTTTGTCAGATTTTGAAATAATTATTATACTGGCTCTAATATTTTTAAATATATGAATAATTTGAGTTAAGGTAATTTTATTAATGAAGATTCTTAGGGCAATATTTTTCAAGTATTTTTTTAATACTTTTTACTGTAACCCAAAGTGAGAAATATATTTTATAATACGATCTGTATATAGGCATGTGTGTGTGTGTGTGTGTGTGTGTGTTTGTGTATGTGTGTAAATTAACAACCATTTCATAACAGTACTTACCCCTACCCTATATAATATAATCTATTATTTTCTATTCCTTTTATTTACTTTATGGATCACAAACAGCAGTTTGAAAAACACTGACTTAGGTTCCTATTTAAAAAAATTAATGTGTATAATTGACTCATCAGTTGTCGGTATATAGTTTCCTTATTAGATGATGGTCATGAAAGCAGTTTGTAAATTGTGTGGTACTATTCAAATGTGAATAATTTACTAACCTTTACTAGCACACTGCCTGTTATGTAATAAGTACTCCATATTGACTGAATTCTCTTAGATCTGTAAATTTCTTCTTTAGAATTCGCCCTTCAGTTACTTAGCAAATTTTTTTTTCATGTTGAAAATATTTTTTCAAAAAAAATCCAACTGGGATCCTCCTAAATTATGAAATATGTGAAATAGTGAAACTTGACTATTATTATGTCATCAGGGAGATAATTATGCCTAATACTATATCTTCCCATTCATTTGGCTTTATTTACTGATTTTCCTTTTCAGGAATGTCTGAATCTGAACAAGCTCTTAAGGGTACTTCTCAAATTAAATTACTCTCAGCGGAAGATATAGAAGGGATGCGACTCGTATGTAGGGTAAGAGTTTTTTACCTCATGGGTTAGAGCACGTTTCAGCAGTTACTAGACAGGAAGGCAGTGACTTGCTGAATTACAAAGGGTGGACGTGCTTGGTAGTAAGGCTTTGACTAGCCATACTTGCTTTTTATTAAACTACTAGAGGCCTGGTGCACGAAATTCATGCACTCATGAAGGGGGGTCCCCTAGCCTGGCCTGTGGCCTCCCACAGTGCGGGAGCCCCATGATTGACTGCCCCAAAGATGTAGGCCTCGCCCACCCATCTGGGGCTCCTTGATGGATTGCCCCAAAGAGGTAGGCCGGAGACCGGGTCCTGCCTCCACGCAGCGTGGAGCCACGGGACCCCCAGGCCTCACCACGCGGAGCCACCGGACCCACCTCTGTGCCATGCATGCAACATCAAGTTCCTGCCTGCTGTGCATGCAGCCTCCTGGTGATGGATTGTGATGGCGTGAGGTCATGATGACCATTTGCATATTAGCTCTTTATTAGATAGGATTGTTAGTATATAGTTCTGTACAACAGCTGTTATCTACTTAAATAATCTATTTGAAAATTAATATGGCAGGAAGTATATATTCAGTTGAGAGTCTATTTCTGTTATCCCTTATATTTTTAAAGAATCTAGTTTTTGTGACATTTTGTCATCTTATTTTCACAAGTCATTATAACTTAGGGCAGAGTTTAAGGCTTAAAGGTCAGCTAAAGATCCTATTGTGAAATACCGATGCAGTGTAGGATTTAGGCTGATACTTATTAAGTGAAGTCACATGTTCACATTTTTCTAAAGAAAAAAGGAAGAATTGCTATTGTTTGTTTGTTGTTTCTTTAATCCTCACTTGAGGATATTTTTTTCCATTGATTTTTAGAGAGAGTGGAAGGGAAGGGGAAAGACACAGAGAGAAACATTGATGTGAAAGAGACACATTGATTGGTTGCCCCCGACTCACGCTCCAAACGGGCTGGGGGATCAAGGCTGCAACCTGGAATACATTGCCGTGACCAGGATCATGACTCTTAAGTCCGCAGGCCAATGCTCTAACCACTGACCAAACCGGCTAGGGTGATATTGCTGATTTAGAAATGATCCTTTAAGTTTTTATTCAGTGCTTAAAAGTGATTGGATACTAATTTTCTTTGATAATCTGGAGAAATTTTGTTGCCATCACTTATGTGCTGTGATTCTTTGAAGGAAATCATCTATTCTTTTACTTCCCTTTTCTTCCCCATTACAGAAATATGACAGGACTCAATCTCTACCAGTTGATCATTGTGTAGACTACTTAACATGTACATTTTCACATAGAAATCAGTCAGACTTACTTATTAAGCTATTTACTAGCTAGCCCAATTTTATGTATGTATTTACATACACGTGTATTGATGGGCATTAGAAATACAAATGGTTTTAAAATGGAGCACGTGAAACATGCAGGATTATAACCTTTAAGGCGAGGTGCACTTTATGAATCTTCACAAAATCTGTGATAGGGCAGAAGGTACAGATTTCTGTTTTTATTTCCTTTCTTCTGAAATGTAAGAAGGGTTTCTCTTTTACAGCTTGCTAGAGAAGTCCTGGACATTGCTGCTGGGATGATTAAACCAGGTGTAACTACTGAAGAAATAGATCATGCTGTGCACTTAGTAAGGACTTTACTTTTATGTTTGAATATGTTTCGCATTATTTAATGTTTTAGACTACTAAAAATTAAACTTAAGTTCTGAATGTCTAAAGTAACTTGGCTATGTTAATTTGAAAGCAAATTTTTACTTTGTTTTAAATGTGGAAAATATTCAGCGGTCATTATTTCCATCTTTAAGTATCTGTAAAATACCTTGTTTCTGAAACCTCACATTTCATAACATTTTAGTTTAGCTTTTATAAAATGATTAATTTATTGGTGCTTGAACTAAATCATGCCATTACATACATCAAATACTCTGAAATAAAAAGAATACAAGTTCTGAAACTAGATTAGTGGAAAAATTCCCTTTCATACCCACAATAACAAGGCAGTAAATAGACCAGGCACAGAATGGGGCAAAAGTAGGTTTATAGTTGTGAGTATACAAAACACAGTTTATTCTTGTATTATTTGTTAATTATTGTATTATTTTCCATACGAATAGCTGTAAACCTACTTTTGCCCCACCTGTATTTGTAGTAAATATGATATAGACACTACAGTAGACGAGTGTACACATTATATGAATAAATGGTTCACAAAAGAAGAGCAATAACTAGTTAAGAAATCACCTGGAAAACTAATTTTCTCTGGTCATCAAACAAATGCAAATCATGAAGCTCTACTATATTACTAAGTATTTTTTAAAATGCTTATATCCACCCCCTATTTGGGGATGATGAAATGTGGTGGTATGATTGTAAATTCGGACAACACTTTTGAAAGGAAATTTGACAATGTGTCTTGAGCATAAAAATGTTTTTAAAAACATATTCAGAATTTTATAAACCCTGACTTTTGGTTATTGTTCCATATGTGATAAAGTACGTAGTGTGCAGTAATAGCACCTTGCGTCCTCCTTTGGGCAGGTGCTCTTTCACATGCTTCTTTTACTCACTCACTTAATACCCTCAACAACTCCACGAGATAGATGCTGCTAGCACCTCCATTGTATAGGTAAGGAAACTGAGACAGGGAGATTAACTTCCTGCGGTGACACAACCTGTGATGGCGTTGGCGTTTTTAGTCATGAGAATCTGTTGTAAGAAACATAGAAGTATAGTATTGTTAAGCAAGGCAAAAGTGATAGGTAGTTATTGGCAAAGGGTGATATTTTTTTTAATTCAGGAAATAATTTAAATTTCAAATAATAGTGTAATTGTCAATGAAGTTATTGTGTGCCACTATTTAAAAATTATTAGTCTGAAGACTGTGTGGTAGTGTGGAAAGAAAAATTATATATGCTGTGACTACCACTGTGTAAAAATATCTTAGTAAAATAGGACTTGTTATGGAAAACCAGACCATTTTCTTAGAGGTTTCTTTGTTGTTCCACATGAATGTAGTAATTAAAATGTCTCTAGAAGTACTTTACCATTTCTTAATTACCAGGTGTACCGGTTAATAATGTGGAATTTTTTCAATAGATGGGGTTACATATATGTTGATATATATGTGATTTGATAAGTATGCTATTTTGTTGTATTGACAACAAGCTTCAAAACTTCATATGTCAAATTTGCTGAAGGTGTTAACATCATAGATATATTTACACTTAAAAATGTTGAATTTTGTGCCAGAAAAAGAGCATTTGCGGAAATTTTAATTTATTACTTTATTTTGAAGAAAAGTGCTGCTGAAAGTTATCGTATACTTCAGGAAGCTTATGGTGAACATGCTCCATCTCAAGATACTTATGAATGCCGGTTTAAATGCTTTAAAAGTGATGATTTCGATGTGAAAGACAAAGAATGTCCAGGTCAACCAAAAAAGTTTGAAGACCAACAATTACAAGTATTATTGGATGAAGATGCATGTCAATCTCAAAAACAACTTGCAGAAAGATGAAACGTTGCTCAGCAAACAATTTCCGATCATTTACAAGCAATGGGAAAGATTTTAAAGGAAGGAAAATGGGTGCCACATCAACTGAACGAAAGACAAATGGGAAACCGAAAAGTTATCAGTAAAATGTTGCTTCAACGGCACGAAAGAAAGTCTTTTTTGCATCGAATTGTGACTGGCGGTGAAAAGTGGATTTATTTTGAAAATCCCAAACCCACAAAATCATGGGTTGATCCAGGTCAACCATCAACATCAACTGCAAGGCCAAATAGCTTCAGAAAGAAGACAATGCTCTGCGTTTGGTGGGATCAGGAAGGTGTGGTGTGTTATGAGCTTTTAAAACCAGGTGAAACCGTTAATACTGATGGCTACTGACAACAAATACTCAATTTGAACCACGCTTTGATCGTAAAATGACCAGAATGTGCCAGAAGACACAGCAAAGTAATTTTGCTTCATGATAATGCACCATCATACACTTCAAAACTAGTTAAAGAAACGTTAAAAGATCTTGCCTGGGAAGTATTAACCCACCCACCATATTCACCAGACCCTGCTCCTTCAGATTACTGCTTGTTCTGATCGATGGCACACGCACTTTCTGAGCAGCACTTCAAAACGTACGGAGAAGTGGATAATTGGGTCTCTGAATAGTTTGCTTCAAAACAAGAAAAGTTCTATTGGGATGGTATCCACAAATTACCTGAAAGATGGGGGAGATATGTAGCCAGCGATGGGCATTACTTTGAATAAAGCACTTTTGATGTTTCTCTTGAAATTATTGTGTTTTCTTTGATTATAAATCTGCATTATTAACTGGTATACCTGGTATATTAAGTATTAATCTTTTGATTATAGGTATATAGGTTAGTTCTGTATAATAAATTATAATTACACTAGAGGCCCGGGGCACGAATTAGTGCACCAGTGGAGTCCCTCGGCCTGGACTGTGGGTTTGGGCCAAAACCGGCTCTCTGAAATCCCCTGAGGGGTCCTGGGTTGTGAGAGGGTGCAGGCCAGGCCAAGGGATCCCACCAGTACACAATCGGGGCCGGAGAGGGACACGGGAGGTTGGTCAGCTGGGGAGGGACCGCAGGAGGGCTCCAGGGCATATCCGGCCCATCTAACTCAGACCCTAGCAGCAAGCTAACCTACCAGTCAACTGCTCCCTGGTGGTCAGTGCACGTCATAGCGACTGGTCGACTGATTGACTGTCGGCACCCTGGTGGTCAGTGTACGTCATAGTGAGCGGTTGAACAGCCTTAGCATATCATTAGCATATTATGCTTTGATTGGTTGAATGGCTGACCTTTTGACCGGACAACTTAGCATATTAGGCTTTTATTATATAGGATTAAAAGTACATGTTAACACATTGTTTGCAGGTAGTTTTTATCGCATGCTAACAGGTAGCGTGGGCCATTTTTGCTAATTTTTTGCACAAATGGCAATGTTCAGTAAAATTACGATAACTTTAGTTTACGTATTTATACATTACCCGCATTCTACCGCTAGTCTATAAAAAACGTATTAATATGTGTCCCGCACTCTACTACACTGGTAGAACGTATAAATATGTTTCCCACATACAATGTGTTAATATTACCTTAAATATTATCTTTTTACTTGAAATAACACATTTTTCACAAGTAGTTAATTCTACACTAGAATCTTCATATTTGTATATATTTGTAATATGTAAATTTGCTTTTCCTTTGCCATTATCAGGAATTTGGACTGGTTTTGCCTATAGTCTGTCTGACAAGCACAAATCCTATTGTAATAACTACTGTTTTTCTTCTAAAATAAAATATTAAGCAAACTTTCCTTTAAGAGCATCTGTACAACAAACACTTCCACAGTTTTTAAATTTTAAAATCTGGTTAATTGGGTAAGATTACACATTGCAAATTATTTTCTCTATATTTTAATTTATTATAGGCATGCATTGCAAGAAATTGCTATCCTTCTCCGTTGAATTATTATAATTTCCCAAAGTCTTGTTGTACTTCAGTGAATGAAGTTATCTGTCATGGAATTCCAGACAGACGGCCCTTGCAAGAAGGTGATATTGTTAACGGTAAGAAATATGTAAGTGTGACTTTGGTCACTATGGGTAAAGAAACAACAAGGTTTGGTGGGTGTCTGATAATGACTTGTGTTTTCTTCACTTGCTTTCTGTCTTTAACTTATCCTTTTTCATATTTAAAATTTTAAATCTTAAATCTGTGAAAATATTTTTATGGTGTTAAGATACTTCTAGTATGATGCCTTTGGTACAGCATGTCTTTCTTTAATGCAGATTATCATGTGATTGGTAAGTAGGTGAAAGGTGTCAGTGAAATGTGGGAGTAATGTTCATTCAAGTGAGAGTTTTCTTTTTTCTTTTGGTTCACTAATGGTTTTGAATAGCTTAGCTCAGACTTTCTTACAGATAAAGAGAAATCCTTAGTAATATATGAAAACCTTAAGAAAAAAGCTAGAAATCTTACAGAAGTGCCCTTCTTATAAGTTAAGCTCTTGGGAAGTTGCAAGTGCAGAGGAAGAAGCTGCCAGACATTTTCCTCTGAGATAAAAAAAAGTTGAAGACTCCTCTAGATGGTACTTTTAATGTTGATGAACTTGGTCTCTTTAGTAATCCAGCCTCTTCAAGGACCTACATATCAAGCGAGGAAACATGAGCCCACATGTGGAAGGTTGCAGAGAATGCACCCGCTGGGATGCTGGCTGTGAATGACAGTGGAGGCACTGTTTTTATGTGGATTGTTATTGCTTTAATTAGGTATCTGTTTATAAAGTTCCAGAGGTGGTGAGATGCCTGCCCATCCCTGTTATATGAACCCTGTCATTTATTACATGCATGATGGGTGAGCTTTTTTAGGAATATGTGTATCAAGCTTGAGCCAACACACCTGTACTGTGATATTGTTGGCTGTCTGAAAATTCGTGGTTTACAAAGACTCATTGAAGGTGCTTTCTAGTATAAGTTTAGTGTATTATAATGGTGTAGTAGTAATCTGTATTCTTTTTTTTTTTTTTTTAATCCTCACCCAAGGATATTTTTCCATTGATTTTTTAGAGAGAGTGGGAGAGAGGGAAAGACAGAGAGAAATACCGATGTGAAAGAAACCCATCAATTGGTTGCCTCCTGCACGAGCCCCAACCAGGGCCTGGGCCAGGGAGGAGACTGCAACTGAGGTACATGTCCTTGACCGGAATCGAACCCCTGACGCTTTGGTCCGCAGCCTACGTTCTACCCACTGAGCCAAACCGGCTAGAGCAATAATCTGTATTCTTTTTTTTTTTTTTTAAATATATTTTATTGATTTTTTACAGAGAGGAAGGGAGAGAGAGAGAGAGTTAGAAACATCGATGAGAGAGAAACATCGATCAGCTGCCTCCTGCACATCTCCTACTGGGGATGTGCCCGCAACCCAGGTACATGCCCTTGACCGGAATCGAACCTGGGACCTTTCAGTCCGCCAGGTGACGCTCTATCCACTGAGCCAAACCGGTTTCGGCAATAATCTGTATTCTTAAACATGGGGACAAAGAGAAGGATGAATATTCACAAATAAGCGAAAGGCAAACGAGTTTTTAAAAAATAAGTGAAGAGTAGGGTAAGTTTTTCTATTTATTGATTCACCAAGAGGAGGAAAAACTGGTTGAATAAATTAAAGCAGTGTTTTCTGTTTAATGTCAAATGTAACAAAGTCTTCCATTTAATATCATTAACTCAGATTATTGATCTTGCATGAATGTGTCCTGGATGCATTTTTCTTCTGCCGTAAGTGATCTGTTACTACTATAAGAGTAATGAAAGCCCACTGTCTGGCTTGTGCTGCGTGACCATGTCTCTGTTCTCCACAGTGAGTTCAGTTGTATTGTAGATAAGAAGTGTCTGTCGGGCAGCAACTGTACATCCATTGGGGTCTAATAGGAGAATGCAGAATTATCTTTCTCATAAGCTGCTTGATGCTGTCATGTTGGAGAAATGACTTTGATTTTGAAATAAAAGCAGATGTGGTCTTAAGCCCTGGCCAGTATGGCTCAGTGGTAGAATGTTGGCCTGCATATCCAAGGGTCGAGAGTTCAATTCCGGTCAAGGGCATGTACCTGGGTTGCAGGTTCGTTCCCTGGCCCCAGTCAAGGCATGTGCGGAAGGCAACCAATCAATGCATTTCTCTCACATTGCTGTCTCCCTCCCTCCCTCCCTCTCCCTCCTCTCCCCCTCCTTTCCTTCCATTCTCTCTAAAAAAAAAAAAAAAAAAAAAAAAAAAAAATCAATGGAAAAAATATCCTTGGGTGAGGATTGACAAAACCAAAACCAAATGTGTTCTTTATATTTGCACATTCTTTTGCAGTGGACATCACTCTTTATCGCAATGGTTATCATGGAGACCTGAACGAGACGTTCTTTGTCGGCGACGTGGATGAAGGGGCACTGAAGCTGGTTCAGACCACATATGAGTGCTTGATGCAAGCCATCGATGCAGGTCAGCCTCAGTGCCGGGCACCGTGGGACCTGCCTGTGTTGATGGGTTTTGAATGACTCGTCACTGCACGAGGCATTGCGGTCCCTGCCAGCCTTGCCTCTCTCCTACAAGAGTGAGCTTTGGGTTCTCACAGTGATGGTTTAAGGATGATTTGGAATCCCTTGGTGAGAATGGACTGAATGATTGCCTCTCATCCTTTGACTCTTCTGTGATTTTATCTTTCTATGGCTGACAAATGAATGTATGAATAGTTAGTTTTGAGTATAATTTTTTCCTATGTTTTATTCTTTAACAAATATTATGTTCTCATAAAACACTAAAACAGGATTCTAGATTATGAGGGAAAAATGAATGGTCCTCCTTTGCACTTGTCTCTCCTCTTTTTATATCTCTCTTTTCTCCAGAGGTATTTACTTTTAATAGTTTTTTTCTCTCCTCTGTGCATTAACACACACACACACACCCACACACACTCATCCCTATGTGTATGTGGTTAGTTAGGATAAATGGAATCATAATTGTAGTATTCTGTAATTTGGTACTTTTTAACTTACAGTATCTTAGGAATCTTTCCGCATTAGCTCGTGTACCTGTATGCATAGTCTACTGCATTCTTTTAATGGCTATATATTGCATAATATGAAAATTTCTACAACTATTCCTTATTGGACTTTGGTGTTTTCTAGATGTCTTGCTATAGTGAATATCTGTGGGTAAAGGGGTATTTCTGTAGGATTTTTCTCAGGTTCTCTTTGTCCATGCAAACAATTCATCCAGGGTTTATTTTGTTGGTTTGTTTAAGCTATAGCTTGTGAGGAAAGAGAAGGAAAGGCTCTGTTGCAAATATTAACAATCCATTACCAAACAGGACAGTTTGAGAGCAAATAAATTTTCAGTTGAAATCCATAGCATTTCAGCTTTATTGTTCAGTGTTCTGTCTCTGTTTCTGCACACCCACTCCACTACCACAAAAAATAAAATAACCCTGTTCTATCATCAACAAAGTATTGGACAGGACAGAATTCTATTGTCTCTAATAATAGAAATTCATTGTCTTTATTGTTTTTAGTTCATTTAACATGCATGGGAGATAATGACATTTTTACTAATGTAGTGAAGTTGGAGGAATGAAAAACGAAAGCATGTGATAGTTTCATGTATCAATATGTATTCTTTTTACGTATTTGCTGTTGATTATTTTTTAATATATTTTTTATTGATTTCAGAGAGGAAGGGAGAGGGAGAGAGAGATAGAAACATCAATGATGAGAATCATTGATCAGCTGCTTCCTTCATGCCCCCCACTGGAGATCAAGCCTGCAACCCAGTCATATGCCCTTGACTGGAATCAAACCCGCAACCCTTCAGTCCGCAGGCCGTTGCTCTATTCACTGAGCCAAGCCGGCCAGGGCCCCTGTTGATTATTAAAGGACTGTAATACTCCTAGTGGTTTTGTGTGATGAGAACTTGAGCGTTTAGTTGCTCATTTGTGGAAGCTTTAGTTTTAAATAATTGTTAGGGTTTCTGCCAGATAATGTGTTCAATGTTTATATCCTTTTTGATTCTCTGAGTTGATTGAAATAACCAGACTGCTGAAATTTATTTTACAAAGACTTGCAAAGAAACTACCAGAAACCAAAGTCATCATAACGTAGCCAGGAAAGAACAAAAGCTGCTTAATCTCAGGAAGGTGCTTTGTATGTGTCGTGTCTGTCCTATTTTCCATTAATTTGGCTGCCCACCGTATTGCTGAGCCACTGGAGAGCTTGACTATTAGTTGAAATTCGCCTTTTTCATAGGGTTTCTCAGCCTACACATTATTGGCATTTTGTATCTGATAATTCTTTGTTTGAGGGGCCTACCTTGTGTATTGCAGGTTGCTAGGTAGCATCTCTAGTTGCTACCCACCAGATGCCATATGTACCACACTCCATGTTCTGGCAACCAAAAATATCTACAGATACTACTGCAAGCACCCTTGGGACCAGGATTGCCTCTGCTTTGAGAATTAAGGAGGAATTTCCCCTTTCACTCTCCCTCATTATTGATGAGTAGGGATTTTCTTTATTTGCTACTGTCCAACATGGGTTAAAATTTTGCTTTTCTTCCCATTGACTGGGGTTGATAGGAAGGCTTGATGGGAATGCAAGAGTATCATTATGAAAGTCAGCATGGTTCCTCAAAATCATTAACCTCCCACCCCCAAAAATGTCAAGCTGGAACATCTGGTTAAGAGCAAGTAAGTGTTAATAAAAATGATTCCTGAGCTTTTTGCCCAGAAATTTGATGAGCTGGACAAGGTATGTTGTACCTGAACCTCAAATTGAAATCAGGCACAGGAGGAGACTAGAGAGTTGGAGGACACCCAGAACCGTGGTTGGATTCCCCAGGAGTCTGGGAGTCTGGCAGGGCCCAGTGCAAGGGGTCTCAGTGCCAGGAGAGTCTTCACAGCAATGAGAACCAGTTCTTTTGTTTTGGTTTTTATGGAAACAGAAGTAAAAGTCATAAAAATTAAATGAACTAGGAAGTATATACACGTGAGAAGTACCTTTCTATACCTTACCCCCAGAGGCAGCTGTGAATAGTTTGAGAACCATGTCTATGGAAGTAATTCTTTGAGAAGTTGATGAGACTGAAACTCAGGACAAGTCAAGTTACTTTGGACATTCCTTTTTCTCCTGATGCTCTTTCCTCTCATCTCTTCCTCTCTCTTTAAAAGAATAGCACACTGGACCTGAGGGAAGGAGAGAAGTGTGTTTTCTATTCTCTTGTTTATTCAGAAAGCAAAAGGTGCCTCCCCCCACTTACTCTATGCATCCACATCAAAGGAGGAAGTACCAGTGCCACTGGTTTGAAACACCCCTTTGCCATTTACTGCCAGGATAGTTTCTCTGTGCCTCAGGTTCCTCATCTGAAAGTTTCAGCATGTAGGCCTATAAAGCATTCAGGAAGGTTCTTGGCACATTGATAGTAATTGCTTAGTAAATGTTAGCTGTTATTACTGTTTCATAAGTCTTCTCTTTCCCTTTTAGTGAAACCTGGCGTTCGATACAGAGAACTGGGAAACATTATTCAGAAGCATGCCCAAGCAAATGGCTTTTCAGTTGTTCGAAGCTACTGTGGGCATGGAATCCATAAGCTTTTTCATACAGCCCCCAATGTACCCCACTATGCCAGTAAGTACCGCCCAAAGATTTGATATTTGTTAACCATTTATTCAACAGATATTTATTCAAACATTTAACAGGGCGTACTATTTTGTATTTATTAGAGTAATCTGTTAGCTGTTATAAATAGACCCTAGAAATGTATATTTGCTCAAACACAATACATGTTTATATGTACATTTTGTTCACATAACAGTCCAAAGCATGTGTGTTTGGTCACTGTGGGGATAGGGCAGTTATTCCGTGACCTAGGCTCTGTCATTGTCAACCCTTAGCTTTCAAGATCACTGTGGGAGTTTCCCTCCTAACCTATAGATACCGGGCGAGGGGGAAGCATTGGAGGGGTATGCTTGGGAGGTTTTAATGAGCCAGCCCGGACTTGGGATAATCACTTACATTTACTTTTCATTGGCAGAACTTTAGTCACATGGCTACACTAATTGTACGGGAGGTTAGGAATGTTATCTCGCTGATACCCTAGGAGAAAAGTAAACTAATTTTGGTGAATAGCTAACAGTCTCTGCTACCTGTCTATCCATCACTATTCTGATTCCTTCAGTGAAATGGCTTCAGCTTGGTTTGACCCGAGTTCTCAGTGTATGTCAGACTTTGTACTATTTGTTGGTGTTGAGGGGAATAGACAAAGTACCTTTCCTCCACGTGAGTGCTGTCTGATAGGATAACAAAGGAAGTGTAGGACAGTTTTCTCCCAGAAGGCTTTTTTCTTGGAGAATAAGACATACAGGAATAAGTCTTGTTATTTAGCGCTAGAAAAGAAAGCTGTTCACAGTAAGTGGCCTGAAAAGGAATTTAACAATTGTTATGTAAACACTTTCATGTATCTCCTTATTGCTTAAGTTTCCTCATCTGTATAATTTGAGGGAATGGCTGGCACCTACCCTAGAACTGTTATTGGGTAAAGTGAGATATCATTACACAGAAAACACTTAATGTTAACCTTTAGAATGGTGATGATGATTATATACATGATCTCAGTGATTTTCAGCTGGTATGTTGCAGCACCCTCATGTGCCACAAGAATTTTTAAACATGCAATACCTGACTATTTAGTCAGGGGCACTGACCTCTTTTCTCTAAGATTGTCAAATAGCCGTCTGATGTGAATGCCCTGTCTTAAACCATAACTATATAGGTTATATAATAGAGTTGCATTTTATTGGTTACGTTGCATAATAAAGTTGCATCTGATTGGTTAATTCTTGGTACCAAAAATTCTTACATACATGTATAGGTACCTGATTTTTTTTAAAAGTCACTTGGAGCAAAAAGTAGGTAGTTACTATTAATATTTTTTATGTAAATCAATCAAAATTATACTTTTTTTATTAGATTGGCAAAAAATCTTTTTTTGGTGTGCTGCAGAATTTTAGTAATAAGTTCATATGATTCATGAGATGAAAAAGGTTGAAAATCATACATTATCTCATTTGATCATTACAACTCCTTGCATAATTTCTTAGCCCTATTTTAAAAAGCAGATTTTGTGCTTAGAGAAGTAATTTATTTACTCAGCTTCACACAAACTAGTAAGACAATGCCAGGACTAGGATTTGTACCTGGGTTCTGTCTGGCTTTCTAGAGTCAGTCTTCCCCTGTACTTTGTGCTGCCTGGTAAAGACTGAAGTAGTGTGGTGCTGGGCCTATGGGGGAAATAAAGAATGGCCAAGATTTGGTTTGGCGGGGAAAGATGAAGACCATTCCAGCATGAATAGGTGCTTCAAGTTGAGACTGAACAGAGATAATACAAGCTTGGCTATTATGTGTTAAGAACTATTAGTAATAGCAGTGCCAGCCTAAGGATATTTGGCTTTATTTGTAGGGATTTTCAGAAACATTTTTGGGCAGAGGAGTGGCAAGTGAAGTTGCTGTTTTGGGAAGACGGATTTGGCGGTGGTATCTAGAATGTATTGGAGGTGCGAACTGGTGTTGCTAGTTAGCCCAGTGCGCTGGCAGAGGTCCAGATGTGAGGCGGTAAAATCCTAGATGGCAGGTTGTGAAGAGGAAGGGAAATGAGCCAGAAGCCACTTAGGAGGAGCTGAAGAAGTTGTTCAGAGTACAGCATTTAACATAGATCAGTGAGCATTTATTAACAGACCACATAGTTCTTTTTGTTTAAGTTGTGAATTATGCTTGAAATAAAAGCTAGGAGCAGAAACTTAGTAGCCGCCTGCATTCCTTACTGGTAAGCCCTCTAGCCAAGTGGTGTGCATCCTCTTAGAATAGAAGTAACTATTCTGATTACAGTGGTGTGTGTGTGTGTGTGTGTGTGTGTGTGTGTGTGTTTGTGTGTGTGTAAATAAAAAGTATGTGTGCAGGGAGGGAATGAAAATGTGCCCTTACAGAAGTGACAAACTCAGGTTTAGGTATAGATGATACAAAGAGAGACTGTTAGAAGGTGATAGAATTTGTGGGAGAAGGAGATATGTGTCAGTGATGTTGGGGTCAGCAAAATACGGTGCCATTGGTATACAAGAGATGCCACTTGAAGTTTTTTAAAACCACCTAGTTAGAAATAAAAAAATTCTGAGGAAAGAAGCAAGGGCGAGCTAGATCTGCTTCATGTCATACATTTGATATGTTTACCAAACGTCACGTGTAAATCTGGTTTATATAAATCAGCATCTGTTGTGCTCACTTTAGGGAAGTGTTAGAGGAAACTGCTGAGAGAGTCCTTGTGGAGCCGAGGCCTTTTGGAATGTAAATGATCTCTGCTTTGGTTTGTAACTCCATATTCCTGACCTACTGAACTGGAACCAGGGAAATGTGTTAACTTCCCTCCACCTCTTCTGTATGAGAGAAGTCCTTATTAGATGAGAGTTTGCTTCATTATTTAAGTTGTTAATGGTTGGGAAGTAATGATGATAATACCTACGTTTAGAATGTATATTGCAATAATTCTGTGAGGTACACATTTTTTAAAAAGTACTTAGCACAGTGTCTGCAGTAGTGTAGTCACTCAGATAATGTGTATTGGTTGAGATACATTGAGAAGCTGAAACCGTGAGTTGAGATGTGTGGGAGTTGTAACCTTTCTAGAATAGTGAATCGATGGCAGAATGAGGAGTGGAGCTCAGGTTCTCTGTATCAGTGCTGGTCAATAGAATAGATGGGGCACATATGTAATTTAAAAATTTCTAATGGTCCTATTCAAAGAGTAAAAAGAAATAGGTGAAATTCATTTTAATAGTATATTTTATTTAGTCTATTACATTCAAAATAGTAGCATTTCAACCTGTAATGAATGGAAAAGTTATTGAGATATATTGCATGCTTTTTTTGTCTTTAAAATCGGCATATTTTTACACTTACAGCCCATCTCATTCTGACCAACCACTTTTCCAGTGCTCAGTGGCTACACGCAGCCAGTGCTGCTGTGTCGGACAGCAGCTCTAGATTTCTTCATCCTTTTTTCTGTCCATGACACCACACTGACACTCTTGATGTTTTCTCAAGGGAATAGGACCAATTCTTTATATGTAGTAATTGCATGTCATTTGGAGAAAGTTATTTAGATTCGAAATAAAAAGTCAAAATTATGTTTACTCCTCAGATTTTGGCAATACCTCAGGTAGTGGAAACCAGCATGATAGCCATTTACAAGGAAAGATGTGGGTGAGGTTAGACCATACCTAGAAAGTGTGATACTTAGTAGATTCAGCCTCAGTGGACATGTGTCAGTCATTACCAAAGTCAGCACCATGAAGACAACCACCAGACCCAAAAACCCCTGAAAGCCATGTTTTGGCCCCCTGCTGGTCTGGCAGAGTAAATGCAGGCATTCATTTGTTGGGGCTGTTATTAGTTGGTTTTTAATTTGAAATTTAAACTGGTTCTCTGTTTTTGTCTGAGGGTCTAAAAAGGCCTATCCCTATTTTTAACTTTTGGCATCCTGGAGAGGGTTGGCAGGTCTGGACAGTTTGATTAATAGTTGTGTTTCTCATGATGGTCCTGAAAAATACTCTGATGTTAGTGAATTTGGATCAAAAGCTAAAACAGTATTTGGAGGGAGAAATGGAATTTCTGATTTCAAATAAAAATAGTCTCGTCAGCATTAAAAAAAAAATAGGGTAGTGTGCAGAGGCTTTTTCTCCTTTGAAGATAAGAAAAAGAAGACAACTGAAAAATCATGCAGTTTTCTATGGGCTGTGCCCCGACTCCCACCACTCATCCACACACGCCTCCACACTGTTACACCTGGGTGAGTAAGCAGTTTTGCTTGGTTCCATGATTGCATTTCTAATCCTGCTGTCACATAAATGGTGGCACTTCTCCTTTTGTAAAAGTGATAATCACATCTAAAATTCAGCCTTTGGATGTCTGTACTTTCCTAGCGAAAACATAAGCAGTGACGTCATGGAGGAGAGCGTCTGCTCCAGAGTAGGTGGTTATCAGTTGTTAATGATCTACTGTAAGAAAGGAGAATCGGGAGAGGAGAAGGTAATTGAGGATGACTGATGGGAATACAGTTGTCTCCTCTTTCCAGTGAGCTTTTCAGCAACACTGTTGGTTTTTTCTATGTTTTTAATTTTCTTCTTCTTTAATTACAGAAAATAAAGCAGTTGGAGTGATGAAGGCGGGCCACGTATTTACCATTGAGCCAATGATTTGTGAAGGTGAGCAAAAAGGATGCTGTACATTCCTTAATTGAATTTTTGTTTACTCTTGGTTACTGATGTACAAATTAGTAGTCTGCTCTACTCACTTTTTGCTTCAGTTCTGCTCCCTGTCCCATCTCAGCTTGGTTTAGTATCATGCAGAGAACTAAACATTGTGAGGGGTGCCCGGCCGGAGTGACTCAGTTGGTTGAGCATTGTCCTGTGCACTGAAAGGTTGCTGGTTCCACTTCCAGTTGGGGCACAAACAGAAGACAACTGGCCTCTCTCTCTCTTCTCTCTCTCCCCCTCTCTCCTCCCTTCCCCCTCCTCTTTCCTGTATCAGCATGTCCTTGGGTGAGGATTAAAAAGATAAATGTTTAAACATTGTAAGGGTTGTCAAGGAAGCGGTACTTTCTCTTGCTCTCAGTAGATGCTGAAGTACTTGAATCCTGGTCCCTTTTAATAAAGATCCTGTCACAGGATGCATTGTAATTTTTAATTGTTTATTGATTGATTTAAGGGAGGCTAGAGAGAGACAGACAGACAGACATCGGTTTGTTGTTCCATTTAGTTTTTCATTCACTAGTTGCTTCTTGTATGTGCTCTGACAGGGGATCGAACCCCAACCTTGGTGTATCGAGACAACGCTCTAAACCACGGAATCACCTAGCCAGGGCCTACATTATCATATTTAGAAGCCTCCATCGAGCCTGTGTAGAAATTCTTGCTTGACATGGGGAAGGGATGGGAAGGTGGACAGGAGGAGAAAAGAAGTAGAGCCACTCACTTTGAGACAGACACAGTTAAATGATTTAATTCTCCACAATTTATGAGGTAGGTGCTGTCCCCATTATACAGAAGAGCAAATTGATCCTCGAAGAGATTATGTAACTAGCATAAAGTCGTTTAGCTAGTTGCATGGCAGATTCTGTCGGATTCCAATGTCCTGAGCTGTTCTGCCTCAAGGTCTGCACTCACGATGTCAGGTGGTGTCACACAACTATTGTGGAGAAAGCACAGCACAGACATACTTAGTGCTGGCAGTTGTTTGTCCTCACTGCTGTTATTCCTGTGGTAGGCACGTGGCAATGATGATAGACTCAGTTGGTAACTCGGGTCTGCTTCGTGAAGCCTTCGCCTTTCCTTTCTGCCAGTTCTTTGTTGGGATTAGGGATGCAGAGTGAGGCCGTAGTAGTAGGCATGTGTCCTGGCCCTGTGTGAAAGGACATGCCTCTCTCTGATCGTCCCCGTCTGTTTTATAACTTAATCTTGGGAGAGACATCCTGTCACTCCTACCAGAGTCTCTTCCTTAGACCTGGTCTCTAAGCCCAGCCTGCACTCAAGTGGCGGAGGGGAGCACTGGAGAGCCTGTGAGAGGCTGCAGACTTGTTCTGTAAAATGGGAAATACAGTTTATATTGTGCCACTTCTCCAGGGCTGCTGTAAGAATGAAGAGAGACAATCTTTATTAACACCGGCTATAGTTTAGTCAGATGCCAGAGTTAGACCAGGAAAGAGCTAAATTCATGCATTCATTTTTTTCCCCTATAGCTTTATGGTGAGTGGTATTAATATATTTTCTAAAATGAAACCCACGTGCTTTTATTTTGGAACTACTATCTTGATTTGATATTTGGGAAGTATAAAACATGTCAAGTATAACACCTATGTAAATTTAAATATCAACAGCTTTAGCTAAAACTTAGTTGAAGTGTAAATAGGAATCTTAATACAGAATTTTCTAATTGGTTTTCTGTGCTATCTACAGATATAGGATACACAGGTACACTTACCTGGAACTTATTTAGAAAACTGGGTGATGGAAGGAAGAAATTGTTTCTGGTTGTTTTAGGTGGATGGCAGGATGAAACCTGGCCCGACGGATGGACCGCGGTGACGAGAGACGGGAAGCGGTCTGCTCAGTTTGAGCACACCCTGCTGGTCACGGACACTGGCTGTGAAATCCTAACCCGGCGACTGGATAGCGAGCGGCCTCACTTCATGTCCCAGTTTTAATTTCCCCGAGATGGCACATCTCAGTAACACTTCCTGGCTGTACGAGGCTTTTTATTGAGAGTACAGAATGGAAGAGAAAATTTTTTATTATTTGTTTTGTTTTGACTATAGATAAGGAAGGATTACAGCATCTGACACGTGTCCTCAAGAACTTGTCTTGGGTCTGGAAAAGCCAAGAAGAATAAAGGAAACACTTTCAACTCCTTTCAGTGTTCCCCTCTCTCCCTCCTCCCACCCCCAATCTCTGCACCCCTGTTTTCTCATTTGCCCTTTGAGCACTTTTACCTAAACCTGCTTCTAGTTGCTTTTATCACTGCCACAACTGGGCACCGAGAGCCAGCTGCTTTCCAGAGAGATGAATGTAGAACATGAGAACCCTTGAAACTTTAGCAACATCTGTTGCTTCAGATTTTTTTTATTATATAGGAAATATATATGTATACATTTTAAATTCCTTATATGTAATTACTGAACACTATGTGCCCTGGGTTTGTGTTGATTCTGCTCTGACGGGTTATATGCTGTCATAAATGGACCCATAGTGTGCAGTAGTTAGTTTAATTCCCAGTTGGGAATTGCCCCTTCTCCCCCACCCCCACCCACCCAATGCTAATTATTTACCTTTGTAGTTGTGTGTAAGGAAACACTCAGTCAGACTGTCAGTGAATGGATGTGGCAAAATTCACTTTGGGAAAAGGTTAGGTTTTAAAAAAAATCTAGTTTATGGCAAAAATAGCCATGCTCCACATGGTGGTGGCTGTTGCAGAGCATGAGGGTTTTGTAATACATTGCTATTTCAGACCTCTGTTTGGTCAAAATGGGAGGGAAGGAGTTCCCTTTCTTCCACACTTTTTTATTTCTAGAGCACACCTTGGAGATAGTCAGAGGAGGGTGGAGGTTGCACTTGGAAGTGGATGGGGAAAGCCAGTTCTGAAAGCTCTCCAGCAGTGAGCAGAGTCGGTCAGGTGAGAGGTGAGACCTAACATTTAGTAAGCCTGGTGGTGAGGAGAAAGGACCCCTTGCAGGACTGGCCTGTTTCCTTGCAGTAGGAATGCAGCTGTAAACATACTTCACCTTTACATCTCTGGGAATCTCATTAGAAATGACCTCAGCTGCCCAATGTCTGTGTTCTTTTCAGTAGGTCAGTCCAAGTGGGATTGTACCCAGTGAAGGCATAGCAGGTCAAAGGCATTGTCCTTAGAGTGTACTTGGTTACTGGGTTTCAGGTGACTTTCTTGTAAGATAATTCGATACCACTGACATGTTAATACTTGTAGGAGAATATCTTTCCCAGAGTGCCTCAGACGTTGTTGCTTTAAAAGAATTACGATAATGTTTTCATTTTATTATTTTAATGATTTAGTCAGGTGACTGAATCTGGTGTAGACTTTCGGGGGTATGTGTGCGAAGTTTTTTATCAAACTGTAATATTTGTGAATGGAATGCCTTGCAATATGAATGTTAATATAATGCGTAAAGGGAGATTAAAAAGTTTGAGTGATTATCCCGCCATGTAGTCATTAACTTTGCTGCATTTTGTTTGGGATTTCAGAGGGAAATGGGGCAGCTGATTTCATAATCTAAAATAAACTCACAACTAGTTGAATAAAAATACTTCTTCAAGTTTAATGGCCATATAAAAATTCCAGTACTGTGTTTAGTTCAGCAGAAGTCTACCCAGCAACATTTGAGATGCAAATGTGTTTTTGAGAGCTTTTAAGACAGAGAATGCTACATAGTTAGTGGAGCATTGTATGTACTGGTGGTGGGATTAAGTGTGTGCTGATTCGATGTCTATCATTACAAAATAAGCTCCAGGAAAAAATCTTGGTAGGATGGTTCTTTTGTTAAAAGATAAGACACCATACTGGTGGTGATGCTTTTCTCAGTTTGGGAGATTTTACAATAATACGGGCTCTATTCTGATTGTACATATCTAATTATAGATGTTTATTAGTTTTAGATAAGAAAACATCTAGTTACATCATTCTGCCAACTTCTCAAAAAAAATGAGCCAATGTGTTAACTTTTTTTTTGTAATAACGTTTTGTTTTGTTAATCCTCACCCAAGGATATTTTTCCATTGATTTTTAGGGAGAGTGGAAGAGAGAGGGAAAAACGGAGAGAAACATTGATGTGAGAGAAACACATCGATTGGTTATCTCCTGCACACTCCCTGACCAGGGCCCTGGGCCGGGGAGGAGCCTGCAACTGAGGTACATGCTCTTGACCAGAATTGAACCTGGGATCCTATGGTCTACAGGACAATACTCTGTCCACTGAGCCAAACCTGCTAGGGCTGTAATAACTTTTAAATAATCTTTCCCCCCCCCTACCAGTCCTACATGCCCCTTTGGAATTATAATTTAGAAGAAGGAAAACATATTAGCCTTTTAATTTCATTTTATGTCTTTTGCTGATAAAATGGATTAAGGTTCATTAGAACTCATTTACCAACACCTTTATACCACTTGCCATCCACATGTCTTAAGTAAATAGGAAGAAGAGGTTTAGAAATTTGTTTGCCATCTTAGCTTGATTCCTCAATTTGTTCTATAATCACTTCTGGTATTGCATTGGATTTGGTTAAAATTAAGAGCAGGATGCTCCACTTTGCTAAAGCCCCCCAAGGCACCCCCATGGTATCAGTAAGCTATTTCTCTCTTTTTTCCCTTAGTTTCTTATTTCCAATTTTTTATTTTGAAAATTTAAAAAACCTTGAAAGTATATTTATAAAAACCATGAAATAATCACATTTCTTTTTCTTGTACTCAACAATTGTTATTTTGTCATAATTTGTCTATATAAGCACACTTTTCATTTGAAAGAAGTGGCATTGTACTTCAGCCATTACTAATACAGCATGTATCTTAAAACAAGGACATTTCCTACACAACCATAGTACATTTATCTTACCCAAGGAATTTAACATTGATACAGAATTGTCTACTGCAGTGATTTTCAACCTTTTTAATTTCATAGTACACAAACTAATTAAAATTTGGCACATCAAAAAAATTTTTTTGCTGATCTCACCAAAAAAAAGATATTATTTTGATTTATTCACACTAGATGGCTTTTGTGTTAGCTGTTTTTTTTTTTTTTTTAATTTAACACCCTAAGGGAAAAGAAGTCAGTGCCCCTGACTAAACAGGTAGTGCATGTTTTAAAAATTTCTTGTGGCACACCAGTGTGTCATGGCACACCAGTTGGAAATCACTGGGCTAATATATAATACATATTCAAGCTTTAGTCTCAATTTCTCCCAAAATGTTCTTCAAAATTTTTTTTTTTTTTAATCCAGGATCCAGACCCATGGCATTCAGTTGTCATGTATCTGTGGTCTTCTTTACTCTAGAGCAGTGGTTCTCAACCTTCCTAATGCTGCGACCCTTTAATACAGTTCCTCATGTTGTGGTGATCCCCAACCATAAAATTATTTTCGTTGCTACTTCATAACTGTAATTTTGCTACTGTTATGAATCGTAATGTAAATATCTGATTTCAGGATGTATTTTCATTGTTACAAATGGAACATAATTAAAGCATAGTGATTAATCACAAAAACAATATGTAATTATATATGTGTTTTCCGATGGTCTTAGGCGACCCCTGTGAAAGAGTTGTTCGACCCCCAAAGGGGTCGCGACCCACAGGTTGAGAACCGCTGCTCTAGAGCAATTCTACCCGCCCCCCCCCCCCGCCTTTTTTTTTTTAATTGACACTTGAAAAAGCAGGCCAGTTAGCTTGTAGAATTCTGTATTTCTCTGTTTCTCATAAATAGGTTCAAGATAAACATTTTGGCAGAAGACACCATAATGGCATATGGTATGTCCCTTTCATTGCGTCACATCTCATCAGGAGGCACATAATATTGTCATATTTAATGCCAATACAAGTTTGTCACTTGGATTCTGTCAGATCTTTTTATTTTAAAAATTTAAAACATCTTTTTTTAAAAAAGCAAATAATTTGGGAGGAGATACTTGGAGACCATTTGGAGATCCTGTTCACTCAATGGTTTTAGTGTTCACTGCAGAATCCATTGTTTTATTGAATTGATTGCTGCAAATTGGGACTTTCTAAACCTAGTATTTCATCTGCATTATTAGCTAGCACCCTTTTACAAAGATGTGTTTTTCCTCCCTCTTACCACTTTTTTTTTTTTTTTTTAGTATTTTTGGGTTCATAGATTCTTTTTAAACATTCTACTTAAATTACTGGAATTCCAAATTGGGTCAGCAGGAACACCTTTAAAGCTTATTCATGGGTTATTTTGACTTGTGCCTAAAAGGCATAATATCGTGCCTTTTGCTATAGCAAGATATTCTAGGTTTATCATACACTTTGCCTGCTCCACACTGGTGTCTGGCTATTTCTTCAAGGAAAAACCCACTTTCTTTTCTTGGGAAATCAAGATCTGTGTGCTACTGGGGTGTCATCGTTTCTAGGCTTTTTTAGGGAATGGAGCCAGAAAATGCATTGCTTATATATCATGAATTTCTTCACATACTTTATTTCACATCTAACATCTGTCTCACCTTTCCCTGTTCCCTACCTGTATCTTCTCTGATGGTGAGAACTTTGGTTCTGAACATCAGTATTTACTATTTAGTTGATTCTACAAGATGTAAAATTATTTCAGAATGACTGCGTGAAGATCACTACCAACAATAAAGTTATTTAGTGCAAAGTTTGTGATTCTTTTTATTCTTGGAACATGTCATTAAGAGCATGCAAGTATTGGTTTAAAAATTATTTGAATTAATTTTGATCCTACTGTGTGCTAAATTTCATAAACTGAGCTACTGTTTAACAGTGAATGCAGTGAATACAGTGGGAGTAGTGAGGATAATTTAGTGGTCTGGGAGTTAGAAATATTGGAACCGTTTGAGATAGTATGATAAGATTCTGTCTGCATTTGATGGTGTTTGACTTCTCTCAGGCTCCCTAGCCTATGAGAGGAGCAAATTATACCACTTGCGGATATGTGGCTCATTTTCCAATATAGTAGGGGGGAAAATCATCTGGACAGTAATGTTTTAGGTACAAATTGTTTCACAGCGTAAGCTGCATTATGCTAATATTCTAAAAGGTAATGTGTTTAGCTTCATTTTAAAAATGAACATCTAAGGAAAGGTCAGCTTAGTAGCACATGCTCCACACGTGGCAATCCTCTGGCTTCAGTGTCTGAACTCTGAGGTGCAAGCAGTCTTTGGTGGCAGCCTCCCCCTTACCTCTTCGTTTTGGTGTGAAGGATGACAATAAAAAACTGGTTTGCATTTGGTTATTTTGCAAAAGAGCAAGACTAAGATGGCATTGACTACCTGTCATCTGCCGCCTTTCATGTTGGAGACTGGGTGAGCAACAACTGTCTAGATGGCAATTCTGTGATTACATTAAATGTATATTTTACTAAAATGTGCCAAAAAGTCAAATATGTGGAGCATTCAGGAAGGGCTTCCTGGAAAGACTTTCACATCAATATGTGTTTTTTTAAATGTATTTTTTATTGTTGATAGTATTAATATGTTTGTTATAGTTCAAAGTATTTTAATATTTTCCTATGGACATCGATTTTTACTATTGTAAAGCTTTTAGTGGAGTAATAGCTCCCATCTCCTGGGTGATTAGCCCTTTTACTATTATTACCCCCACCTTCTCATCCCACTCACAACAACAAACACATGCCAATACTTCTCAAAACATGTAGGCACATCTGCACTATGATGTCATGAGGAGGGCACAAGACCAACAGTCAGGACACCAGGGCTGTGATTTCCCGGATTCTTTCACTGGTTGCATGGCTAGGAGGATAAGTGCCATACTTGATCTTTGTGTAGGATGACACCACTACTTAGCAACTGTTTTATTCTATATACTAGAGGCCTGTTGCATGAAATTTGTGCAAGAGCAGGCCTTCCTTCCCCTGGCTGCAGGCACCAGTTTCCCCCTGGCACCTGGTACCTGGGCTTCCCTCGCTTCGTCCTGAAGGATGTCCGGTCTAATTAGCATATTACACTTTTATTATTATACTGTGACTATAAAGCAAATCTGCTTTAGTTTAGTAGCTGCATCAGAGTTAAACAGAAGATTCAGGCTAGAATTTTTAGAACTTGATCAGTAAATCTGAGCCCTAGCTGGCTTTGAGGAAACAAAGTAGCCAATGATAAAAACATTTAGTATGAAAATGTAGATTCGAGAAGAGATCAACATATTTTAATCCAAATTTCCACTGTTTTACCTTAACATAGCTTGATTATTTTTGGTGTTTTAGTCCCTGTCTAAAGGAGGTAGCTCTATGGTGAATTAATGCTCCTTCCGTGGAAGGAGCATGCGCATGTTTACCTCATCTCAAGGGATTCTGTCAGTGTCCTGTTTGATAAAGGCAGTGCTTGACAGCCCACCCCATCTGCTTTGTTCTTGTGAAGAAAATGAAACTGGTATAGTGGAGGACTTGGAATATCTCTGTTCACTTTATGGTTGTTTCTCTAAAGATGATTTCCTTGGTATAGTTCTATGCATTTATGATCTAAATAGCTTTGAATATACTTAATAAAATGTTTTCCAAATGTGTTTGCAGTGTACTTTTTCCTAAAGGTATTTGCTGGCAGAGAATCTCTGATCTTGCGTGTTGATTGAAACAAAATTGTCTGAGTCCAAAGTTGGTCTTTTTCCTGGGTCAGCAAAATGTTTCCAGGCCCAAAGTTACTTTCGGACTTTGATCATCAGCCTGCTTGTAGGTTGGTAGCGAAGCAGAAGATGTTCTGAAGCGTTCTGTGCATGCAAAATGTCTCCCCCCGCCCTCCCCAAATCAAAACATTTTGAGAATTACGTATCATTTGCATCCAAAATGGATAAATAGGAGTAGCATTATGTGTATGCTTTGGGGACATTTTTGTTTGGTGTGAGTTTTACACACCTTAACCTGCTCCATGTGACAGAATTTTGGACATAATGCAGTTTTTTCCTCATCTCCATTCAAAAAAACCAACCACCCATCATTCTACACATTCTATTGTATATGTTGTTAGTTCTCTGTGCATGTAATAAATAATTTGTTCCAGCCTGGCCGGCGTGGCCCAATGGTTGAGGGTCAACCAATGAACTAGGAGGTCACTGTTCGACTCCTGGTTAGGGCACATGTACATAATTAAAAATACTGCTGAAAAATAGCCACCATCTGAGCTATTTTTAGTGAGTTGTAATCATTTTGCTGGTGGAGGGTCTTGCCTCTTTGATGACCACTGACTAATCAGGGTGATGGTGCTGAAGGTTGGGGTGGCTGTGGCAATTTCTTAAGGACTGTGAATCCTGCCACATTGAGTGTTCCTTTCACAAACAATTCTCTGTAGTACTGGATGCTGTTTGATGGCATTTTACCTATAAAACTTCTTTCAAAATTGGAGCCAATCCTCTCAAATCCTGCTGCTGCTTTATCAAGTAGGTTTAGGAAATATTCTAAGTCAATTGTGGACATTTCAACAATCTTCATAGCATCTTTGCCAGGAGTAGATGCCACCTTGAGACCACTTTCTTTGTTCACCCCTAGGAAGTAACTTATCCATTAGTTTTATCATGTGAGATTGCAAGAATTGTCACATCTTCTAGTTCTCTTGCTATTTCCACCACATCTGCAGTTATTTCCTCCACTGATGTCTTGACCCCTCAAAGTCATCCATGAGGGTTCGAACCAGCTTCTTCCGAACTCTTTATGTCGGCATTTTGACCTTTCACGAGTCACGGATGATCTTAATGGCATCTAGAATGGTGAATCCTTTCTAGGTTTTCAATGTACTTTGCCCAGATCCATTAGAGGAACCACTATCTGAAATATTGCGAGAATTACCAAAATGTGACCTGAAGTGAGCAAATGCTGTTGCAAATGGTGCTGATACACTTGCTCGACACACGGTTGCCACACAAACCTGTTTGTAAGAAAAACGGAACCCGTATCTGAGAAGCACAATAAAGTGAGGTATAGCAGGTCCTTGAATAACCTGGTTTTCTTCAACTTGATTTCGTTGTAATGTTGATGAGAAAAAAATTCCCAGTTGGGGCCACTGTCTGTGTGGAGTTGGTACATTCTCCCCATGTCTGCATGGGTGTGCATGTGAGGTGAATGGCGTGTCCACATTGCCCCAGTCTGAGTGCATGTAGTGTGAGTGTGCCCTGTGATGGGAAGGTTTCCGTCCAGGATGGGGGTCCCTCCTTCGCCCTGACCTGCAGAGATGCTCTAGCTACCCGCAACCCTGAACTGGAATCAGTGGGCTGGAGGAACATCATTATCTGCCTTGTTTTTATTAATCTTTCTTCAATGTATGTATAGATCCCATTTATTTCAATGTTGAATCTTTAGTTTGGTGATGTTTTTGTGACCAGAAATATGCGGTAGGAACTTAACTGTTGTTTCTATCAGTTAGCCTATGGGAAAATTGGTTTGGTGAGGTGTCCTTTTGCTTAAAGTTGCAATTGCCAAGAGCCTATCGACAGTAAGCAAGGACTTACTGTATGCCCAGGCAGTAAAACGCATAACAACAGGCATGAGAGTGCTAGACATCGATTTCTGGATGCTGCTTCCTCTGGAAGTGCAATGTGTCTGGCCAATGGTAACATGTGAAGATCTGATCAAAGTAAGTGCCCGGAACTTGGACATTCAGTACATAAATAACTGTAATTTTTATAATCTTGAAATAGTTTATACAGCTAAGAACACACACACACACACACACACCTACTTAAGTACAGAAGGTTGTTTCAATGATGAATTTTAGTGTTCACTGTGGGCTAGATATCATGCTAGGAACTGGGGGTATGTAAATTTGAACAAGGCACAGTACCTGCCTGCCCTCAAAATAACCTCACAGAGGCCTTCTTGGGTTCTCATTAACTTTGTCACTGATGGCTAAGGGTATCTGTTCTTCAGTAAATGGGCCTGAGACTCTTAAAAGTTAAGCCAAAGTTACTGAGCCAGTAGCAGACAAGGTTCATAAACTCATTATTGGCCTGCTTCCATCTTTCCTTTAAAGAATAAAGATAGTGGGGAAAAAACCATGAGTATATATTTAGCATAAAACAGAGATAAACATTTATGCAGAAATTACTTTAATTTTGTTAAAAAATTCCTTAATGAGCTAACAATTATTCATAAGGAGAGTCCAGAAAACAGATTTATGACTGTATTAGCCTTCCCCTTGATTAGAGGTATTAATTATACAGAAAACATTATTCCCTACAGTAGGTTACCAAACATCTAAGAGGCTGTGAACTTGTAAGAGCTTCTCCCAGTTTGTCTAGCTGCTCCAATCAGCTCACATGATTCAGTTATAAGGATGAACATATTTTCTTTTTTTTGAATTTAAAACTTCACAACAGTCCGGATGCTGTAAGAGAAAGAAACAATACATGTAGGTTTTGAATGGTATCTTTTCTTTTAGGAACATTAAATTGATATGTTTGTCCTTTTTCCTCCATAAACTTATTCTATAATATACAACCTAAGGTACAGCTTACCTCTTCCCTGCATGCAGCAGTTCAAAGGCTTTGTTAATTTCATCAAAAGACAGATTGTGGGTCACAAATTCATCAACTTTTATCTTTTTGGACATATATTCAGACACCAACTTTGGGACACTTTCTACACTCTTCCATCCTAAAAGAAATCATACATCTATTCATTAATTTTTTTTTCAGCAAGTTTCTACAGTATGTTTATTACTTTGTGGGTTAAACAAAGACATTTAAGAGAATAAATGTTTTCATTACATAGGAATGAAAAACGTCAAAATCAGCATAGAGATGAGAAAGAATTTAATGAATATTAGTTAAGAAAAAAGTAAATGACTTTTTAGTACATTCCTCTTTCTATATTGATTTACTAAAATGTCATTAAGTTTCAATTGAGACTTTTAGGCTACCCAGAATAGAACTTTGTAAGTCTTAGAAGCTTATTTTTTAGGTCCATAATAGCAGAGATTTCCATTATAATGAAATGTAAGGAAGAAAAATATTGATGTGCTACATGACTCTTTCTTTGGTGTTAAGTCAACAATGAATAGGGATAGCAACTCAGAATGGAAAACTGTGAAACTGAAAGCAAAGTAGAAAATCAGATGCTTTAATTTTTCACTTGTTATTGAAAGAAGCAATAAAACAACAAAGCAGCCTTCCTACTTTTTAAAGCCGGGATGCTTTGGACCAGATTTCAAATCTCTTTTGAGCTTTTTCCAAATCTCCCTCATTATATCCTCTACTAATTATTTTTTCCCCTACAAACTGAGAGCTTTTTCTTTCTCTTTCAAAACTCCTATTAAAACTGAGACATCTACAACTCTAGACCAAAACATCTATTTACATCTGTGGGTCATATTTTAGGACAGTGGTCGCCAACTGGTGGTCCGTGAGGCCCGAAAGGTTGGCGACCGCTGTTTTAGGAACACCACAGGGCCCCAAATGCTCCTGCTTAGTTCCCAAACAGCACTGAGCTAGGACGAGGCTTCAGTCAGAGGTTCCTACCACCCGGCCTGGCTCAGTCACCCAGGCTTAGAAGGCCCTTCAAATTCAGCTCTGGATCCTGAGAGGATGCCTCTGAGTTGCATGTGTGGCTTTAAAGGTCTGTTCTAAGATTCTCAAGTTCAGCATACTTCCAGGACAGGAGGGTTTAGTCAGCGTGACATTTCTACAGCAAATTCTCTAGTATAAAGAAGGAAAACTTTGGCCAAATTCTTCAATTTAGCATATTTCCTAAATCTTTTCTTCTGACTTTCAAAAAAGCAGGCATAACATAAGGTAGTGGATGTTAACAGATACACAGATCATGCAAAGCTCATGCTATATGATCTTATTCCTAAGAGGATAGTGCAAATATATTTTTTTAAAAACCTATTAAAATGTAGGCAACCCTAACCAGTTAACTGCCATGTGTCCAAAATGGAAACCATCCTTGCATCTAGAGGCTTATGGCGTACGAAAGGTTAACAACCATGCACTTTTTAGGATCATACCAGGGAAAAATAATCAGTCTGGCAGCTTTTTAATTTTGTTATAAGGTTTTGTTTAATTTAACGTTTTCAGTTTGATTTAATATTAGTTACGCTGAAATCAGTACTCTTCGGAGGTATGATTGACCACTGCACCCTTCAGAAAAATGAGTAAAAAATGCCTGTAACCTATTTAACTCCACAACATGACGCAGTGTGGATGACTGTTTGCCTAGCCTGCAAACAAGTTCTCATGCCTGCCCTACCCCCAGCGATGGCCTCATTTATAGAATATTAATTTTCTTCTTTTACTGAGTCAAATGTGGCTTTGAGCTTCATGAGAAAATACTGATTGAGTGTGAAACTCTTCTATTAAAATAACTTTGTATACAACAACTCAGTATGAGAAGCAGCCCGTGAAAATTGTTGTTAAACCAAGAAAACTGGCCTGCAATTAAAACTCTGCAAACAGAAATGAGCGAGAAAACATGCCATCCCATCCAACAATCACCTCCGAAGGCGGTGCCTTTCCATGTGCGTCCTGTGACGAGCTGGAAGGGCCGAGTGGCGATCTCTTCACCGGCAGCAGCGACTCCT